CTGGCCTTTGTCCCAGGGTGGTCATTAATAGAGCTCCTTTTCACTCTCAAAAGAATTCGTGCTTTCCAAGATAAATTACCCTGACTACAGCAATCATCAAGTGGATATTCCTAACCCAACTCATGAGATCCCTTTTCCTCATTCCCAGACCTGCCACGGGATATTATTCCCTTGTGAGCCCCGTTGTGGAGGATGGCTCTCCATCACCGGCTGCCTGAGTTAAGAGGCTCTTTTCTGACCTGCAACTCCATGTCTAACACCAAGTTGCCAAGTACTGCTTCTTCAGCTTCCAAAATGTCTCTCAAATGTATCCTTTCCTCTCCATTCCACTCCCTTTACCATCCAGACCGGGGCTCTCCCAAAATCAGAGTCCTATCAGCACCAGGCAGATAAGTGAATGAAGGGAGACGAGGATAAACACACGGCTCTCCGAGTCCAATCCTTTGTTTTGAAACTTTTGAAAGAAGTCTGAGCTCAGTAAATACTTTATTTTCCTCTTGTTTCTCCAAAAGTTAAAAAGAAAGAAAGAAAGAAAGAAAGAAAGAAAGAAAGAAAGAAAGAAAGAAAGAAAGAAAGAAAAAGGCACATAAGCAGTGATAAATGACACTGACACTCCACCTTAGGCCCGCGAATAATAGGCAGTCGTGGGTGTGACAGTGAACTGGACCCCCGCAGGTGACTGTTGACCCCCAGGTCTTCTGATTTTTCAAAAGAAGTTGGAAATCAGGATGATTCTGATGTGAAATCTCCCAGTTCGTAAATGACGGGCTAAAACTACTGTGTAGGTCAAAGAAAACACCTGCAGCTGCTTTGAGCCCACCCACCATCCTTGGCTCTCAGTATCTGGTTTTTACCCTCACCACCTCTAGCCTAGACTAATAGTAATCTTGGTCATCCTGCCCCTTCCAGTTCCAGCCTCCACACTGCCCTGGTCTTTCCTTTCCAAATGACACATCTAATTATTTGAGCACTGTTTCTAAAGCGGCCTTTGCCACCTACAGAACAGAGGATGCGTCCCTTGCTGGTGCATTTAAGATCCTCCTCATTCTGACCTGACTCCTCTTTCCAGCTGTGTCTTCTATCACCCCACACACCGCTGACTGTGCTCTCGCCACACACAATTACTTGCTGTTCCCTGAGCAGTCCTGATGCTTTCCTTCCATTCATAGGTTTTTTAAAGAACAATTATAGGGGCGCCTGGGTGGCTCAGTCGGTTAAGCGTCCGACTTCAGCTCAGGTCACGATCTCGCAGTCCGTGAGTTCGAGCCCCGCGTCGGGCTCTGGGCTGACAGCTCAGAGCCTGGAGCCTGCTTCTGATTCTGTGTCTCCCTCTCTCTCTGCCCCTCCCCCGTTCATGCTCTGTCTCTCTCTCTCTCAAAAATAAATAAACGTTAAGAAAGAAAGAAAGAAAGAAAGAAAGAAAGAAAGAAAGAACAATTATAGATTTCCAGAAAAACTGAGCAGATAGTACAGAGAGTTCCCATATCTTCCTTTCCTCTCCAGTTTTCTCCTGTTATTAATATTTAACATTGGAGTGGTATGTGTGTTACCATTAGTGACACATTATTTTTAACTGAAGTCCATAATTCACGTTAAAGTTTATTCTTTTTGTTGGCGATACTGATATTTTAATACCCTTTCAGATTTTTCTTTTATAATTGAGTTTCCTCTGCTTGCACGGTCTTCCCCAGATTCTGGCAAGATTTGCTTTAAGGCCAAATAGGAATATCACTTGTTTTGCAAAGCCTTCTCTGACTATTTTTGGAATGGGGGCTGGAAGGGAGGGAGCAAACAGGAAAAGGGAGAGAACTAACATTTTTATCATGTGCCTAATGTGTCAAGTAGTAGTATATATTCCTTTGAGTCTTTCTGCAGATACTATTATACAGTGTTTCACTGAGGAAGCAGAGGTTAGGTAAGTTGCCCAAAGCCCCACGGCTAGTAACTGGGTGGACACCCATGTCCACCTGGCTCCAGAGCCTGTACTCCTCCCTCAGGGCTGCATTTACCCACTCTGATCTGGCCTCCCTGCTCTCCCTACTGCAGTGAGGGGTGCAGTGTTGTTCAGCTCTGTCTTCTCCTCACACGTGTTTGCAGCAGCTCACCAAACCCAAGGGCATGTGTCCCAAAGGCAGAGTCCGTATGGGAAGAGGCACCACTTACCGGCGTCAGTTCAGCAGAGGTTTGTTCAGTTCCTGCTCTGCACCGGACTTGGTGGAGGGTGAAGCCAAGCATAAGAGGAAGGTGATGGCGATGCTGTGTGCAGGTCATAAAATTGCGACCAGGCAGAGTCAGGGAAGCTATGGACTTTCCGTTTATCTGTGACTAGGATGTAAGCTGCGGGGAGCAGGCATTCATTTGTTCTGTGCAGAGGCTCCTAGGACAGTGCCCAGTAGTAATTGTTGTTTAAATATTTGTGACAAGTTTGGGCCACCTGAAGTGACACTACACTTCTTAGACTGCTCACGTGCATTCCGTGGGTCACACAGCTTCGCTTTCTCTTTGGGTTCAGCGCAGTCCTATATCATAGGCTGTTCGCAAATTGTCCCAGGCCTGGGCCAGACTGTACTCCTGGCCTGGAAGTTCTCCTGAACCAGAACTTTCAGGGAAGGAGGAAGGAGGAGGAATTGCTTTGCCCCCACCGTCTTTTCAGATCCTGGGAGCTGCCTGGTGCTTCTGGACCTGACCTTGGACCGTAGTTCCAGAGGCCCAGCCTCACCTCTGGACTTCACCCCAAACGATGGCCTCATTTTGCTTGAACAAATTAAAACAAACCCTCTAAATGTCATGTGAAGGTAGCCATGTGTTCAAATATAGTCATTAATTTTCTTAAAGAAAAAAAATGATCTCAAATACAGTAACTTGTTTCAGACATTTGTTTACAAAGCTTTTCTCCCCTCTCCCCGTCTTCTCCTCTCCCTCTCCTTCCCTGCCCGGTTTTCCCTTGACTTCTGTGACCCTGTCTTTCACTTCTCTGGCCCTGTCTCTCCTACATGCTTCTTTCCACCGCGGTTCTTTTAAGTGTACCTCCCTCTGCAGTTGTCCCATGTAAATAGATCGCTCTCCGTTCCTGGTGAATAACCAGGATCACAATTGTTGTCTGGGTTGTGCCCAAGGTGACAGAATTGATGGACCTGGAGGCTGATTTTCATAAACCAGAGCTATGAAGCGTTTCAAAAACAGCCTTGTTTTTGCCAAGTAAGGTGAGCAAATATAGGACTAAGTTTAAACATCCATCAGGAGTTATTTTTGAGGCGATTGCTTCTAAATGAGAGGCATTCGAAAATCTCACAGCTTTCTTTACAAGTAAATTCCACAGTCATGTATTTTGCTGGTGTCTGCTGATTAATTACGATCCTGTGACACCATGAAAAACCCTGGTGGTTGGTTGTGTGCAGCTGTGGAGAAAAGTAAAGCAAGGCCCAGTGAGTTTGCCAACTCCTTCAGGATAGTGCGGATTCAGGCAGAGGGAGGTGTTTTTTTTTCTGGCAGTCACCACAGAAGAACAGAAGCCCCAGCCAGACCCATTTCTCCAGACTTCTCGACGGGTGGTTTGTGTCCCTGCGGGGGTGTGGTGAAGTAGTGATACTTGATCTGTTGCCTCTGAATAACAGATCCATTATTAGAGGAAGCATTTTCAAGTCTCCACATCGGGATTGTGTGCCTTCTCCTATACGATTACTTGTGTTTAGACGACAAAAAGAAAAAAAAAATAGTAGTTACATATAGTAAAGTAATCACAGTGTATTTTGATTCTTTAACCAGAGGTGCTCTGCATGTGTTTGTTGTTGGTAATTGCAGACGTCTGACCCAGGAAAACAGCCAGCTCACTCCCACTTAGGGGTCTGATGATTCTGGATCTCTTTTATCTTGGCCTCTTCCTTTTTCTCATTATTCCCTTCCATATTTAACTTTCACTTAACGCTCCTCGTTGGCAGGAGAGAAAAAGTTGAATCTTGTTGCTTAGGAAGTCATCTGTAGCTCTGGTGAAGGACACAATAGGGAAAGAAAACAGACTAATTATTAAAATAGACTTTCAAAGTTCTCAGTGTGTTTATCCATACTTGTGTTGCTCCGCCCACCTCCCCCCCCCCCCCCCCCCCGCCTTTTGATTTCCATAATGGGGCTGAAGGGTTTCTGTGACATGCGTCCTTCTCCTTGGCACTGGCTGAGGTCAGAGGATCTCTCTCTCTGCTGCAGGTGCAGGTTTGTGCTCCTCACAGTGTTGTTGATGTCATCACTGAGCGTGAATCCACAACATGCTTACGTAAGCTGCGTGCACACGCACACAGTCATGGGTCTGCTGGATCTGTGGCCTTCATTCTAAATAGAAGCCACCTAGAGATACAACAGGATTTGTCTTTCTCTGCTCAATTCTAATATGTAATGCCATGTAGAGTGAGAATAGGATGCGTCTGCCTTGGTGCCTCCATTCCGGACATCTCCGTGGAGAACTGCTAAAAATAAAATCTAAACAGTTTACAAACATCACTACCCTGTGCTTGCAAAGGCAGGCATCATTGTGGCCTGCTTCTTTGGCCAACACTGTTCTGATAAACCCAGCACATGAGCCAGTTTGGACTGTGAGACCGTTGATTTTTCCCTCTTCAGCAAGACTTTGATTTTGAAAAGGTACATTTTTTTATATGAGACCACTAACATAGAGCAAGTCGTTTGCCTTTCTTTGCTAAAATCAATGTATAGGTTTTCTGTAGCTAGTAAGCTCTTGGATCAAATAACTGGTCCCTGAATAGTCCCCTTTGCTTGGAATTGTGCAGGGAACCCAGGGCATAGGTCGGGATCGAGGACATAGGGTTCTTACCAGTTGCTGTGTCTTCCCACACCAACGTGGTTTTCTGCAAAGAAACCAGAGCTGTGTTCTGCAGGTGTCTGTTTTCTTTGAGGGGAATATTTTGAGGAAACCTAACAGGGAGGAACTGAGCATTTAGGAAAAATATATTTTCACAGCAGGATATTGCTTTTTCTCTTTTTTGGTTTAGGTTTTCCATTTGTTACAAGCCTTCTCAGACTCCAAATACAGACTGAATGCATACTTTCAGCAGGAGCTGGCTGACGTTGCTGTTTGTACCAGAGCCAAACTCTGGCTGGCCGAGAGGTATGTTAAAACCCCACATGAGCGAGGAGTTATCAAGGGTTAGGAATACATTGGAGAATTGCTGTTTCTAGTTGTGGGAGTTTTAAAAGTCGTTGGCATGAGTTTTATAAACTTATTGGAGTATTTATCTTTTTAGAACTTTGGGTTGTGGTAAAGAAAGAAAAATATTTTCCTGACAATTTTTCTGAAACTGCTCTATGGCTGGGGGGCATGTAATATGGCTTTTTATCTGTCCACCAATCAGCTTGTTTCTATTAATACCTGCCATGTGCCCAAGCCTGTGTCAGATGTTATGGCAATGAAAGGCAATAACTGACTAAATCATGTGGTACAAACTCTTAGGCGCCATGGCAATTCATAGATTAAAGATTGGGGTAAGACTTGAATAGGTACGGGGAGACCATTAGGGTGTGAATAAGAAAAAGACGTGGAAGTTGCCCCTTGTAAGGTAGGTAGTAGAATAGCTTGAATTTTGAATAATCAAGGCAAAGGAGTGTGGATACATTTATTTTTTCACTCTGGCCATTGTCAATTTATCGTGGAACTTAGAACATTTACTATGTGAAAGATGGAACAAAAAGAATTTCTCATTTAATACGCAGGGAGTCCTCTCTATAACATTGTGTTCAAATCTGTGTCTGTAAGACTCTGATGTTGGTAGGAGAGTGTTACTGCAAGGACCCCCCCCCCCCCCCCCCCCACACACACACACACACACTGTGTCCTCTGTAAGCTCCAACACACTGGGTCCAGCAGAGGCCCACATGCTACCACATTCCATGCTGGAGTGTCTTGCATTTGGTTAGGAATCAGTGCATTGGTTGTCTAACATAGAAACCTTTTTTGTTTTTCAAAAACGAACTTTTGTTCCCTTTTGTTGGCTCCCTACCTTTTGGAGGCAGGAAACGGGTATAGTATGAGGCCCGAGAGTCAGTGTAATCCAACAAAGTCTATTGAACACAGGCTGTAGCCTGTGGCCTTTGTGTTAGGAGATGGAAGGGACGCAGATATAGAAGAACTAGCTCTGACTTCAAGGAACTCACATCCAGGAGGTAAGGCAATAATCTGCATCCAAATGATAAGGGTAATAAGAAATGTATGTAATAAGCACAGGAGTAGCCCAGAGGAGGGACGGGGAAGGGCCTTCAAGAGATGAGTAGAATTTTACCAAGTGGCCGGGGCAGGGAGGGCATTCCGGGCTCGGGTAATGTCAGAGTCAAGAACATGACTGCGTGAAATGGCAAGGCGACGATGGAGAACTATAAAGGTAGCTCTTCTGGAACCTAGTAGAAGGTACATGAGACCACGGAAATACGTGGAGGCCACTCGGCGAAAGCTCCTAAAGGAAACCTTTAGGCGAAAGGGAGCCCCTGAAGAATTTCTCAGTGTGTAGATATGAGTCTCCATGTCTGTCTAAATACCTATAGCTTTGGATGGGGATATTGATGGGGAAATTCTCTCATGTCTGAAATGCCAGTAAAGTGATGGTTACCTCTTATTTTTAGACCAGTTTTTGTTTTCTCTCTTTTATGTAGAGAGAGCGAGTTGATTGACCATAAACTGCCTCTGAGCCTAGTATCGTTTGCTTTTCATGTGGCTTTTAGGTAACTCCCCTAAGCTGCCTTTTTTGGGAGAATAGGGAATTATAATCACATTTGTGCTCTCATCTGTTTATCAGTTAGCAGGCCAGGTCCTCCTAGCTGTTGTTTCTGGGGATCCGGAAGTCAGGGCTCTCCAGGAACCATCCTATGGAAATCTCTGTTTCCATCCAGGAATACCCCAAGAGGGAACCTGAATCTCCTATTCTTCAAGTGCTATAAAAGAGTTTCTGCCCCCTTAGCCTGCTACCCTTTCATGGCTGTCATAAAAAATCATCATCTGCTGGCTTCCTGAGCCCATTCCTTCTTGTTGGGTGGGAAGGAGCAGATGGTGTAACAGGCCAGCATTTGAATGGACCTTCGTGCTGTGCAGTTAGTGCCTAAAGATGGATGACCAAGCTGCCTTCAGCCTCCTCTTCAGCTGGAGAGGACCCTGTGGCCTCTTTAACTTTCCCTCTGGTCCCTATTGCAGTTTTCTATTTAGGTTTTTCAGCATCATCACTCCC